TATATATATATATATATATATATATATATATATATATATATATATATATATATATATATATATATATATATATATATATATATATATATATATATATATAATATATGTGTGTGTGTGTGTGTGTGTGTGTGTGTGCCGAGAGAGCAAGGGGCGGCTTATTGTGCTCGGGATCACACATTGGCAGGTAAAGCAGAGAAAGCTTCTCTTGTCGAGGCCAAATTTAGTGACAAAATGAGAAAAGGGGGAGCATTAAAGTGCGTAATAAGGTTGGGGGTGGGTGGGGATACCCATATATATGAAATATGTGATTGATTCTGCTCTGGATCGCCACATTGGCAGGGAAAGAGCTGAGGAAGACGCTGGAGCCAACTGGCTGGGGACGCGACCCGAGAGCCACCTTGGGAGCCCCCGACGAAGCCCAAGAAAACCTCCCACTGCTGCCCCTAAGACCATTTGATTGGGGATCTCGTCGAAGAGGACAGATCCCGCAATGCCTGGTACAGAACTAATAAGTGTAAGGTGGAAGGGAAGACGATTATTTCGCAAGATATACCATATCAGTAAAGGGTCTTCCCCCCCCCCCTCCAACAAATTAATACTCAGCTTAGTCGCCTTTGTTTTATTAGCATTAGGTCTAGTTCAGTTAATACTTGTTCCTTGAAGGGGAGATTATATTCAGAGTACGTTACTGGGGAAGGGAGTTATTATAGTAATCCTTGAGTCAAGGTGAACACAAGCCGAGTTTCTTTTTGTTTACTCTAGGGAGAGTAAATATAATTTATGCTTCCTCGATATTGACGGCCTGGAATGCCATCCATATAACAACCTAATTTATTTTTGTAGGGCTAAAAAACATTCCAAACTGGAATACTCTTTGTCTAGACCATATTTGTTTAATATTACCCAAACATTGAGTAGTCTCAGCCACCCCACGTCTGCCTAGACTGCCATGCCAAGCTTCCAAATTAATACCATAATAAGTTTTTTTTTTCCGGATGCCTCCTCATTTGAAACAAAATCCGGATGGTGGCAGTGCTACCAATGAATTAATCATGTTAGAAGATTAATCAGATTAATATTAAATTCTAATTTCACACTTTATTTTGTGTTATTAATTTTGCGGCCGACATATATACCCATATCACAATAACAAAAAATACATATATAATTAATTGTATTAATTTTGATTAAATGTTCAATCCATGGACAAGAAGTGCCCTTACTTATCCTTCAGTATCTTTTGAAAATTTTTGTCCATGCATTCTCAACAATAAATTTTCTTGTTTGTGTTTGTTATCTTCCACCGCAAGACGCCAAAGTTTGAATAAGAAATACGAGAACTTTGAGACACCGCTTACCTTGGGCGCTTGAAGAAACACACACACACACACACACACACACACACACGCCACACACACCACACACACACACACACACACACACACACACACTACACCCACACACCACACACACCACATTCACCACAACACTCACACACACGACCCACAACCACCACTTCACACATTTCACAATTCATACATAGTCACATGCAGACACACAATCGTACTGCATTCACACTCACACACACACACACACACTCAACACACCACCACTCACACATTCACACACACCCTACACACACATGCACAAACCACACACCACACATTCACACACACACACACACAAATACACAACCACACCCACACACACACATTCACATCCACAACAGCACAACACACACACACATTGCATCACCACACACGTTGAATACGGCAACAACACATTCACACACCACACACGTGATCGGTGGGGTATTACATACACACTCACTCTAACACGATTTACACACACGCAACTGACGCTACACGCCGACACTACGCACACACACACACTGTCACACACACTACACCTGACACACATACACACCAAACATCATACCATTCACAGCTAGCGCACGACTGTGAGCACCAACGATTCACACACACGAGTGCTATCCGATCACGAACTTGTATGCACCAATGTCACGAGTAGCCGACACCTACACACATTCACACACTACCGCACACCGAACACCTCACAAACACCGCATAGCGATCACACGAGTTATTGGCATCGGAGTCGCACACACACAGTTGACATATTGTCGATACCAACACATTTCGAGCACACACACACACATGTGATGGTACATCGGCACCGCACACACCGATTTCAAACACACACAATGTCAAC